TGCATACAGGAGGGGTACGACACACACACACTCTTTGTCATATAGGGAGGGGCGATGTACACACACACACACACACACACACACAATTTCCATGTATAGGGAAGGATGTCTACACACTCACACAGAGTCCATGCATATAGGGAAGGGTGTACACAGACATACATATACACAGAGTCTGTGCATATAGGAGGGGGACGACACACACACACACACAGAGTCCATGCATACAGGGAGGGGTGTGTACACACACACACAATGGCCATGCATCTAGGGAGGGCTGAACACAGACACACACACACAATTTTAAAGCAATAAATTCGAACAATGTGGGATTTGTTTTTAAATGGCAAATGGAAAGCCCCAGCACTGACAGCTCATCCCCCCTCACAGCAGGATTCACAAAAAAGCAGCAGTTACTGTGAAATGGAGCAGAATTACTTTTTTCTTTAAAATACAATATAACAGTGCTGCAGAGAGGGGATAATATTTCCATATGTCAGCAAAATCTGGGGGGGAAGCACCGGGCATTTTCTATCGACACTCCTGCTGCTCCTTCCTCTGCACACGTACATGCCCTCACAGACCCAGAGAAACAGCTACACAACCCTGCATTCAAGCACACACAGACACACACCTATACACCCAGACATGCACACATGCCTGCATACAGGCACCCAGACATACATGTGTACACCCCTACATGCACACACTCCTGCATACAGGTGCACATACAGACACACCTGCATACAGGCACCCAGACATGCACTTGTACACCCAGACGTGCACGTGTACACCCAGACATGCACACACATCTGCATATAGGCAAAGACAGGTACACACAGATACACACACACTTGCTCTCTCAGTCTTTGGAAATGGCTGATGCTTCATGAGTAAAATCTTCCCTCGGAGCTGGCAGCACTGAGGATCTGCTCTTTGATGCCCCAACTGAGGCCCAGGGGACACCACTGCATGCCAAGCAGCAGCAGCTGGTGATGTTCAAGTAAATCCAGGGGCACCATCAGCCATTGCTATGTCACAGGGAACCAACTGAGTACAGCAAGCTGCAGTGAGATCCAGGTGGTCCTATAAGCCCTAGGACCTGCCACCAGTAGCTGGGGCATTGTGCCTGGTGATGCCACTTAGGAAAACCCTAAGCCCCAACCCAAGGGATTAATCCCTAGCCAACTGTCTATATTCAGAGGATGTGTCTGCTCCAGTTTCTAGATGCTATGACCTTTGTGGGAGGGGGCAGGCAAAGCATCCTCCCAAAGCAAGGTGTTGCCTGCTGCCCGTGTTGAGCCCTAGCTCTGATACGCACCTCAAGTACTGGGATAGATTTACAGTGGTGACAAACTAGGCTTTAGATGCAGCAGCAAGAGCACAGAGGAGAGTCAAGATGCAATGGAGAGGGCTGGGCAAGGGAGCAGAGCTGCCAGGCAGACCCGCCAGGGCAAGGGGGATGGCTCTCATAATTGCATCCCCACTGATTTCCCCCCAGTCTGAGTCGATGCAGAGGAACAAGGCAAGCCTGATGCACTGCTGAGTGCTGAACTCCATTCACGCAGTATGGATCCAGGTCCATTAACAAACGCCGAGCCAGACATTGATCCAAGACCCTCGCAGGCAGGACGTGAGCAAAGGGAGCAGAAGCACTGTGGGGAAGATCAATCCTTTCAAACCCCCTCCTCTCTCCCTCCCTGCTCTCAGTGCCTTCACTAAGAGACGGCCATAAAGCTCTGAAAACTCACAGCTCTTCTCTCATGGATCCCAGACTCCAAGCCATCTCCACTGTATCTCCATGGGCTTCAGGAGACTTACACCAGGGACGGATCTGGGCCAGCGCTTCATTTTAGATCCTTGAGGCAGATGCGTTAGACTCAATCCAATCTACAGGTTATGTCACCAGCAACAGATGGGCCTCATGGAGTCTCCACTCCACCATGAGGACTCTAAGATTGAGGGTTTTGCAGCTAGCACAAGGGCAGAATGAATAGTATAACTCTCAGCTGTTATCAGACACTGTATCTGCTACAACACATCATCAAGGAAAATCTAATGAGACCAAAGTAGAGCAATAACAGCATCCAGGAATCTCCAGCACTCGGACACCAGCTCCCCTTAACTACAGCACCTAAGAATCTGCAATGCTGAGATATTCCTGCAGCCCCTGGGCTGCACCGAATACTTCCCATCTGTGCCACCATGCTACGGCATCTGAGAACCACCAGCACTTAGCCCCAGCTGCACTAAGTCTCCTGGCTTCCTGCCCTTGCACTAGCTGTGATACAGATCCAGCATGGGCGTGCTGTCCCCTGAGATTGAAGTAGGTCCAGCTTCTTGTGCCAGAACAGATGCTCCCAGTTTGACCAATTAAGGGGGGGGAGGCAGCACCTGAGGGCTATAAAGAACCAGTGAGACTCTGAGGGGAGGAGACCTGGTGAGAGAAAGACCTGGGAGTGAGGAGACAGGAAGAGGTCTTTGGGGAAAGCCACAGAGAGGCTCCCTGCAGGCTGTCCCTGGAAAGAGGGAGGAATTAGCAGGGAGCCTGTGGAGGGGCTGAGCCAGAGCCAGAACACCATGGCCAGAGAAGAAAGGAGAGGGCTGAAGGTTGAGACCAGTAGCTTGAGATACCTGCTGTAAGCCAGGCCAGGCTGAGAATGAGGCATGGTGAGGAATGCTCGAGCCATATTGGAGAGCCGGCGTGTGGCGAGGCATGAAGGAGCCGTATCAGAGAGCTGCGGCATGGCAAGGGAGGAAGGAGCCGTACCGGAGAGCTGGGGCAAGGCAAGGAACACCAGAGCCCTGCTTGATGTACTGTCTGAACTATGGTTGTGGGACTTGGTGTTGGGACTGGTTTTGTTAGGGTATCTGCACACAGGGCTTTCTTTTTTAATCAATTAACTCCACCACAGCCATTGGTCCTCAGAAGACTGTTTGGACTATTTCTGGGGATTCTGAAGGAGGGAAACTGAGTCAGATTGTGCTTTGACTTGCTGCAGGAGGGCGTTTCATGCAGGAGGCACCTTGTGACAGATGCCATTGCATGACCTCTGCTCTACCACATCCAGCCGCCCCTCCTGCACAGACACTTCTATAGCGCAGCACAACACAACAGCCAGGAATCTGTAACCTAAACCAGGAAAGGACTTTGTTTGCCAAATCTGTTACAAAGAATAACACGGACCAGCTCCCTGCCCACCCCAATCCCCTCCACAAAGGAATATGTCCATTGAAAATACTCAAGGAGGCTGCAATAGATGATGAAAGAGTGTCTTTAGCAATGTCAAGCCCAGGACATGGTCTGGCTGGAAACAGGGTGGGAAAGGAGGAGGTGGGAACAGGCAGCTGACTGGATCAGACTTCACGCTTGGAGATGAGGATTTGAGTGACAAATGGAGAGGCTTTATTCGAAGTGACTTTTAAGGGTGCTGGAGTCAGACCGGCAACCCTAGACCCTGAAGTTCTCTACTATGGCACAGGGGCAGCAGTGCTGGCTTTCCTTTGCTGCCTCTGCCAATATGCCTTTCCCCGACCTGGAAGGAGCATTTCTGGCCCTTAGGGAGTTCGGTCTCCATGGCCCTTTCACTTCACTTTTCACTGGCCTCTCTGTTCAAACTGCTATGCAGGAGGCCGAGTGCCAGCAATGATGGTGATTTCAGTGACGGGGATATCTGCTTACCAAGGTCTGCATGGCATGGCCCCCACTGCATTTCACACAGCCCAGGCAAGTCGCTAAGAAACTTCAAACTCGGATCACTTGGAAACAGTCCAAGTGCCAAGAGTGTGGCTTGTTCAGCTCTCCAAGGGGTGGGGTAACAGACGAGCCAACGCATTAAAGGACAGAATCACAATGACCCTCCCCTTGAGCCCTCACACCTCAGAGGAAAAGCATTTGCTTTATTACAGATCCCAAAAGCATAACATCCGTTTAAGGAGGACGATTTTACATTGTATATTTCCTTTTCACATAGAATAAAACCACTGTCTGCTCTTTGGTGCCAGTCAATGTGTGTCTATATGGTGGAGAACCAGGCTGCCTTGAGGAGATGGGGAGGACAGGCAGAGGGAGAACATGTGTTTCTCTCTCTCTCTCTCTCTCTCTCTCACACACACACACACACCTCATGCAGAGAGCTCACCACGCATTTATACACACCCAGCCTGGAAGTACATTTCACTGCTCATCAAACAGACTAAACCCCCACCTCACTGCTACAGCACACAAGAGGGTGAAAGGCTCCTGGAGAACAGTTCCTAGCTACGCTTCCCCCTTGGAGTAGCTGTCCTTCTTTATAACAATTGGAACATCTGTCTTCAGAGGATGGGGAGAGGGGCTCAATAGGAATCAGTGACTGAAATCTCTTGGCTAGCGAGAAAGAAAACAGGACAGATCAGTTCCTTCCGATTAAAGGGGAGGAAGCTGGAAGGACTCTGGTTTATTCTTCACCCCTCTCTTTCTCCAGAGCAGTGGGCTCTTTAGCCCACTTGGCCTTTGTGGTCTCCTGCTCCTCGGCATAGCCCAGGTCAGAAGGCTGCCCTGCCGACCCATCGCCATTGCCTTCCAGATCCAGCTCCTCGAAGGAGGAGCCACTGGCCCCTGACTCGCTGTAGCTGTGTTCGCTGCGATTGTCCAGTTCATCCCGCCCGCGGCCAGCTGCGAAGGGGGACAGGATGGAGGTGGCCACCGAAGTCTCTCTGCTATCGGTCGTGGCCTCCAGGCTGATGGAGCTCGTCTCGCTCAGGGTGTCAGCCCCTTTTGAAGAGAAGAGGAACAGGTTAACGTGGAGGGGAAGGAGAGAGCAAGGCAGAGCTCGTGGGGTGCAGGGCTGAACACAGCAGCGAAGAGAAGGCTGTTGCTACATCTCTATCCTTAAAGACTTTATTCACCTTGTTACTCCATTGCCCATCCCCCCACTGAAGAAACTTCCCATACAGTGATCCCCATCGGTAAGAGATCAGCCAATCAGATTAACCCCAGAAAAACTATGCGACTCCTCTAGTCTTTCCCCCGGGGAGGGGAGGGGCGGGGCAGGGCAAAGGAATCATGCGAAAGGGATCAATAATTGTCTCAGCTACAGAAAACACCAGTGAGTGTACCCCACTCGGCTCCATCCCAAACTCCTGGGGACTTTGTAGGAGGTTATCACTGGTAAGTGGCTCCCAAAGGCCATCTCTGTTGTATTCTGTATCTATGGTACCCATTCCAGTTTGGACCATTAAGAGGACAAAGTAGAGATAAAAGGTTCTAGCCCAGCTGAACTGTCCCCTGTGAAGTCCTCTGGCCCATCAATACTCACTATAAAGCACCAAAATATAGAAAGTGCATGGTAGTAACCAGCTACAAAGTCCTGTGCTGATGTAGGAGATCATATTCCCAGAGTAGCATTAATTCGGTCACAGTGAACATGCTGGACAAAGTACATTTAACCCTTAGAGCTTCAGGAAGAGATCAGTGACCTGTGATAACTTGTTCTAGTCTCTCTCCTTCACGACGTCCTGCTCCAGCCCCAGATCCATCTCTCCTCCTTCCCTGTTGCAAATGTTACCCCCATCCAACGCTCTAGCCTCTCCTATGCCCCCTCCTCCCTACTAGCATCAAGAGTGCCCTTCTGCCCCCTCCCCAGGTAAGCAGAGCCTTCTGCTCTTCAGACTCTTTCCCATGCAAAGGACAATGCCCTGGCTCTAGGCTAGCATGCCCCTGCTGTGAGTTGCCTGCCCCATGCAGCTTCCTCAGAGGGAGTGAGGCGAGGAAAAGCAGGGCTAGGCTGGCTTGGACGGGAGGCATCACAGTGTAGGACACGCTCCACCTTAGCATGCTGAGCAGGGCCCTCCCTTCTCTCAGCCACAAACTCCTCCCCCTCCTTGGCACAGGATCCCCAACACCTCACCTCTCAGGAAACTGGCCACCCTGCAGGTGCAAAACACCTCAGGATTATCCAGGACCATAAGGGTTAACAGTCAAATTGGGAAGCCCCAAAACCACGCCAGCGCGAAGAGCTATAAATAGACATTCCTAGGAGAACCTGAACTTTGGCTTTTCTTTGAACCACTTTATGTTTACATCGACCATCACAATGTTGCATTAACGCAGTTTGTATTTCAGTTCCTTGGATTTTTTTTAAGCCAAAAAGGAAATGATAACATTGCTGAGGCATTATGGGTGTGCTTTCTACAGCTCCATTCACTGCACCCTTAGATGAGATATGCATGACCCAGAACTGGGGAGAAGCATCAGTTATGCTTTTCCACATGGTAAGCAACAGCCCTGTCTTCAGAGACAGGACTAGCCCTTCCTGCGTCCCCAAGGATGCTGCAGTGCAGAGTGAAATGACTGCACCCCAGAGGAACACACCTAAATGCCAGCTGAGACACTGTATGCTGCCCGGGCATGAATGCAAATGTGGAACTGCTCAGAACTTCATCATCTTCCAAATGAGCGAAAGTCACTCTCATTGAATGGCTGAGTGAAAGAACTGTGTGAAGAGCGATCTGGATCTCAGGCCTTGTCTACCTGGGGAAACTGACCAATGTAGCTATTGCAGAATAAGCTAGTCTGGAACAGCTGCCTGTGTGGACACACTACTCCAGAATAAAAGTGATTTCATAGTTACTCCAGAAGAGCTAGACTGGTCAAATTCCCCACATGGACAAGGCCTCAGCCTGGTCTAGAGAAGGCAGGTGCCCACATCACCAAAACCATGGCATTGATTGTTCCCCTTGTTGGAATATCTAAGAGGAGTTATAACAGCCTCAGCGCTTCTAACCCTGCAGCATGGACTCCCCCAGCTCCACCCACAAACCAGGCTGTGTAAAATATATCTGCTCCCAAGGACACATCAAAGGAAAGCACATTTCTATTGCCCTCTACTGCCCAGAATGTGTCAGCACTGCTCCCCTCTCCTTTCTCACTTCTCTTCCCTAACTGAGGTGATGCAACTGCTTCTTAGATGTCTGTATAGCAGGGCCTGCTCCAGGCACCAGGCACCAGGCACCCAAGCACATGCTTGGGGCGGCACCTGGTAAGGGGCGGG